ATCAACATTCCAGCCTGGGATGCATCATTCACTCACCAAACTAAATCTAAGGTCTGGTCATCCCTGATCAATATATTATCAAAAAAAATAAAATTACATACCCATAATCTTCTACAGAGTTTTTTCTCTTTTGATCTCTAGAATATAATACTCATTCCAAATTAAGTCTCTAACGACCAAAATTTTCAATTTGGATAAAAATTGTATTTTAGATGAATCATTTTTGGTCCATCAACTATTCAATTGCTTCTACAATTCGTTGGTCAATCTAAGCTGAAAAGTATATACCAAATTAAAAAAAAAAAAATGTACTAAACAGTCAAGAACTGCATGTGTTTTGTGCTTTTTTCCCAGCTTAAGGCTTTTAAGGTATTCAAAAACTGGTGTCAATAACTAATACATATACCTATCAATATGGGCACTTGGGGAGGCAATGTAGTGAAGATCTGTGAAAATAAAACCAAGTTAAATAAAGAGGCTATTGACAAGTAGAAAAAGTGAATACTTTCATCAGTGTGTTGAAAAATGATAAGAGGAAAATCAAAGCCATGAATACCAGCAGTTCACATGGGGGAAGTATGAGTCACAACAAAATGAAGGCAATAAGATGTACCCCACAAAATCCAAATTAAAAAAAAAAAAAAAAAAACAATGGAGGGAACAAGAGATATGGTTAAAAACCAAATTTCATTGAAAATTACTAAATGGTATATATATATCCACCTTTGCCATGTCAAAGCTTTTGTCAAAAAATGATTCCCATTGAAAATATTTCTAGGAAACTTGTGCTTCATTGCCCTACAAGGTAAAATATGTAATTGCAAAAGGAAGCTTGGCCATATCTCTACTTTAAACAATTAATATTTTCTGTAAGAATCAACCTCTAATGTAGTGATATTGCACACTAATAATTGAATTGAACCAATTGATCTAGTTTTGTTCTCTTATGTTTCCAATAAAAATCAAACATTAATATTACATACTAATCTATCTGAACTAACCTAGCATAAAAATCAAACATTTATATTAAATACTAATCTAACTATCTGAACTAACCCTGCAACTAAGCCGTGGTCGCGCACATCATTATAGCAGCATTTAACTCTAATCACAATTTGGCAAGTGATGAATAGTAACATAGCACTGACTCTTTTCAAGTAATATAGTAATAAATTTCAACTAGAGTTAATTTCATTTTTGGTCCTAGATTTATAGGTGACAGTCCACTTTTAGTCATTTCTTATTAGAACATTCTCATTTAGTCCTAGTATTATTGTGGCGTGACCATTCTTAGTCCTCCTTCAACAAAATAGTTGAAATATCGTTAAATACAACGACATAAAAACTGTAGACCGAAATTCCCTTGTATTTAGTGATATTTAAACTGTTTTGTTGATAACAGACCAAAAATGATCATGTCACAATAATACTAGATCCAAAAGTAGATATTCTAATAAAAAGAACTAAAAGTGGATTGACACTTATAAGTCTAGGACCAAAAATGTAATTAACTCTTTCAACTACTTCAAGAATAACAAGTAACAACTTTACCAAAAGTAAATTAAGGATTGCTCTGTGATAATATAGCAGTAAAGCCATGCCTTAAATAAAACCATCTAACGTCAGGAAGATAATTGAAAGTCAACTTTCCAAGGTTTACATACCATTATTATAGAAATATTCTGGTAAGTTAAACCAGGTAGAAAGTAAAACTGATATGGATTAATTAGCATCTAATAAGCTTTTTTCCAAAATGCACATAAACCCAATTGGTTAAAAAAACTAAACTTTTGCTTTCAACATGACATCTCTTAACAGACCATTTACAACTAAGCAGAATTAAAAATATGGTCGGTAACCAGTTTATTTCATAAACAAGTATTGCTCCTCAACTTTTGAAAAACTTGTTTATGAAATACAAACTACTACATAGACTTTATTTGTTACTCTCAACTCTTACTCCTTATAAATCATTGATGTAGACACTTTTTCAAGAACTTATGTGATAAAAAATAGAGTAAAAGACATTTTTGGTCCGAGACTTATAGTGGCACGGACAATTTTGGTCCTTAATAAAAAAATTTGCCATTTTATAGACAGACTTATTGTGACGAGGACATTTTTGGTCCTCCGTCTATTATATCATTAGTTGACCGTCTAAATGAGGGATATTTGTGTCAATTCAGCTTATTCTCCTTCAAAACAACTTCACCATCTGTAAGCTTCCAAACTGTGTTCATCACCGTGATGCTCTGAGCCGACAATGTCTTCACGCCGCACTTTCCTCTATCGTAATAGGATGCATGCAAAGTAGTTCCCTGAATACCCATACAGCTGTGTTTATCATTTTTTTCCCATAATCACAGAACGAACCTGGTTCTTAAAATCCTAATTATTCCTGTGTCCTTACAGTGGCAAAAAGAACATCAGTTTTTGATGATCCAACAGTAAAGATTCAAGAGTTGACAGTTGTGATCAAGCAGGACATCTCTGCACTTAATGCCGTTGTAGTAAATCTGTAGTTTCTTAGCAACTCGCAAAATAAAAATGGAAGCATGTTTACAGACACGACCACCCATACAACCACGGTTGTTGACCGTACAACCTTAAAAATCGCTTAATGAACTCCACAAAGGAGTTCAAAGAGGTCCTCACCATTCGGATCAAGGTATATTGACCTCTCTTGCACAAGACTTCAATGAGCCATTGATTTACACTGTTGTTTCTATTATTTATAGAATTATTTATTTTCATTGCAGAACTTGAAGGTTCATGAGAACAAGGCAGCTATTTTCTTCAAATGCATCAAAAGAGTCCATTAATCCTTTCATTCACCAGCGTCCCTTAGAGTCCAGAGCAGCTGCTAGTAGCACAGCTCTGCATCAGTATCTCCCCTTCTATGGGTTAATAACTCTGCATTCTCATCTCAGTTATTACCTCTTAGATATAGTAACACATGCACCTAAACTATACATTTATTCTCCAGGTTTATATGTACCTTATATATGTGGATTTTTATCTGCTTGAGGAAGAGAAGACAGAAGGATGTTATTCATCACCCTTGACATCTCAAGATTGAAAATGTCCTGCTAAAGTTTACAACCGCAGTTTCCTTCTCCCAGAGTCCTCATCGTTGTTTCATTTTGATAATCTTTTCAACTCTGGCGAGTTCATTTTCTCCGAAAACTACGTTTCTCTGCCGCCGCCGCCACCACCGGAATGTTCCTTTCCTCAGGAATTCGAATTCCAGACCCACTCAAAATGCTAGAAGCTCTATCACGACCATTTCCCACCGGAAATTACGCATAATTGTTTCGGTGCCACCTTCATTCCGAACCTTCCTCTACTCCAAGACTTGAAGCCTACGCCGCCGCCGTCTCCTTCATCGTCATTACCGTAGGAGAGCCTTTTGCCTGAGCTCTAGAGTGGTTCCTTCCCTACGTAATGTGATAGCAAGGAGACTGAGGTGGATGAAGAACGATAGAGGAAAGTGCGGCATGAAGACGTTGTCGGCTCAGAGCATCACAGAGATGAACACAGTTTGGAAGCGGTGAAGTTGTTTTGAAGGAAAATAAGCTGAATTGACACAAATACCCCTCAAAGTTGTTTTGAAGGAAAATAAGCTGAATTGACACAAATACCCCTCAAAGTTGTTTTGAAGGAAAATAAGCTGAATTGACACAAATACCCCTCATTTAGATGGTCAACTAATGACATAATAGACAGAGGACTAAAAATGTCCTCGTCACAATAAGTCTGTCTATAAAATGACAAATTTTTTTATTAAGGACCAAAATTGTCGATGCCACTATAAGTTTAGGACCAAAAATGTCTTTAACTCATAAAAATATCATATCTTTGTTTGTCATATTATAAAATAAAAAGGAATAGATTTTTAAAGTATATACATGTAATAGAGCTATTATATATGAAATAGGCATGAAATTAAGGAGTCATAAATTTTATTTTATTTTTTTGTCATTAGACCATATGTCGTATGGGATGGGGATATATGGTACAATGTACGGAGCTACGTAGCATAGAAAAGGGAAATGGAATAAGTTGGATATAAAACGGTACAAATATTAATTGTTTACTAATTTTTATACGAAATTTAATTTTTGAAATGTTTAAAATTAGTGAAATGATCTTGTATTGAAATATTTTATGAAGTTCTTACAAATTTTTGAGAGAATAGTTCTGAAACACAAAAATGTTCACATAAAAATAATTCTGAAACACGAGTTTGTTCAATTCTTTAAAAGTCAGAACACAAATGAAGATCAAACTGTAACTACATATCAATAACACGTTGCAGTTAGCACTTTGAAGATAGAACAAAAAATTAAGCTCCATAAAAAATAAACAAAAATCAAACAAAATAACTACATTCACACAAAAAATAAACCAAAACGAAAATTTTGTCAAACTAAAGCTCCAAATTCAACACCATTTCCGAACTAAGATCAACATCTCCAATTCTTCAACATCAAAGTAATTAAGGATTGCTTAGCTTTGTGATTAAATAGCAGTAAAGCCATCAAACATTAAGAAGAGAATTGAAAGTCAACTAACTTTTCAAGGTTTACATACAATCATTATAAAAGTATGCTGGTAAGTCTGAGATGAAGAAACCAAGTTGGAAGTAAAACTGATAAGGAGTAATTAGCATCTAAGAAGCTTTCTTCCAAAATGTACATAAACCCAATTGGTTAAAAAAAAAAAAAAAACTAAACTTCTAGTTTCAACATGCCTTCCTTGACAGGCCAATTACAATTAAAGCATAATTAAAAAGATAGTCGGTCCAAGACACCAAGCATGGCCATGCCCACATCAAACAACACATTTGCATGGAAAGACAATAAAGTCACAAGAATAGAATAGTTATAAACACCTTTTGAACAAGGACTACATATTAATACAACAAATGAAGCTAAGTCAACAAAGTGGCCAATGAGAATACCCATCAAGAATCTCAGGAACTTGCTCAAAGTCCAGCATGTAAAAATCAGCTTGTTCAGATTTAGTAGACAACAATTTTGATAAGATCACTAGCTTACAAGTAAATGCACAAATACATATAATAATAAGGGGCAGGAATGAAATTGTGAAATATCAAGGTATATTTTAGGGTCAATTCCGAAAACATCTTATCTTCTGAAAAAAAAGATTCTGTAACTTTATCCATTTCCTTGCGACCAAAATCAACATACACACAATTCCTACTTCTAACAATACCTAAACTGCCATTGGAAGTCTCCAAGAGGATAGTACGAGTTGCAGTTCTGTTCACTTAAACACTCCCAAAAAATACCTAATCTACCATTGAAGTCTCCAAGAAGATAGGATGGATTGCAGTTTTGTTCACTTAAACACTCCAAAAAAGAAAGGATGTAATTCATTTCCGATCTATAATTCAACATTATATTATATTATATATATTGCTGATTAAATAAACACAAAATATAAGAATACCACTATACTCATAAAGAACGGAGGATCTTGGACTTATACATGGTTTCATCCCCACTCCTCTCCCTTTTACTTGTATTTTCCACCCTATCTTGGTCTTCAATTGTTGGAGGGGCAGAGCTGGAAATAAATAAATAAATAAATAAATAAATAAAAAGTAAGCAACGATCAAATTCAAAGCGCTTAATTTATCACACAAGTATGTAGAAGCATATATGAATGAGAAGAATGAATGTGGCAGGTAGGGGTGTACTTACGCAATACAAAAACAATCAATAGCATACCCACGTTGGAATTTCTTATAGTAAAGGATTTTTGAAGAGGCTCCAACACCACTTGCAAAGGATTGGATGTGATGTTCAAGTGTAAAATCAATTTGGAACACATACATCAAGAGACCTACATTGTAAGAATCAGTGACCACAAAAAATTTTCCACCTCCAATATCAGCTAGTGGATAAGTTATGAGGTCATCCCAACCTTCCTGATAACAACTTTCCTTTAGCTTCCTATAAGATATGGGCTCAAGATCACCGTCAGCATGAATTTTAACACGATATGCACTAAGTGTAGTACCACAAAAGGCAACCAGAATCCAAGTTTTATCAAAAAACTCATCTGAAAGCCCTATGTCGCCATTGTGATCAAAGGGAGGAGGAATTTGTTTCTTATCAAATCGATCCAACAAAGACATCCTCTCCTCCCATTTTGAAAATATGATGTTAAAACTAAAGACACTCTCAAGGTACTCACTCTGTGGGTCCCTAATGAACAAATATATATGACCGCTAAGAAAAAAGTGACCAAATGTGACAGTAAGACTAAAGACATGATCAGGTGCGAGAGGTGCAAGAGGAGGGGATGGAAGGGTTTCAAAGCAATCTTTGATGGGATCAAAGGACTGAAAACAAAATTGCTCCTTGTTGAACATAGGCTCGTAAAGTTTATTATTCACTGAAAGTAAGTAAATCTGATCTCCAACTCCTCGAATCACCCGTGCATCCACCATAGATTCAAAATCCCGTGATCGAGACAACGAAGGTTTTCAATAGGTAATTGGTGGAACCTACTAGGATAAAAAATATACATCGTGCGGCTATATACAAACGTAGATCCCTCTGAGCCACCAACTGCATATACAATATGGTTGTGGTTGAAGAGTGTGGAAGTTGGGGGAATACAAGCTCAACCATGAATTCGTGTTTGCAACACGGAGAGATTTTAGGAATTTTAACACGATAGAGTGCACCACAACTTGAGAAATAAGCATAAGCATATTGGGAATCTGTCATTTCGAAATGTAATACTGAAGAAAAAAAAAAAGAATTGAAGATTAACGAAATTGCGGTCATAAAAAAATACAAACAAACAAACAAAAAAATCATTGATTTCTTTCCAACAATACTCTGTTATTTTTCAGTTTACTAGTCCAGTTCAATACAAATTAAAACCCAGCAAATAACCCCGAAAAAAACTAAAGACTCACTCCACACATAGCGATCAAAAGCCCTAAATAATAAAGATGATTTTAGTTAGAAAGGTAATCCCTAATACAATAATAGGAAGTTCTTTTCAGCCCAAGCAAATTAAGCATGCAATCAGAAATATCAATAAAATAACACAGAGTCACACTCACTATATCATAATGAAATCTATCATACTCGAAGGCTTCATAATGTTTCATTTTCTATAAACCCTAGATTTTCAAGAATGTGATCTAAAGAATAAGATTTCACCTTAGAAGGAGAAAGGGAAGTAGAGAGGCCCTCTACATCTTAATCTTATATACTGACAAACTATTCATTTAATTTCATGATATACTTTTCATCTTCATCTTAATCTGACCAACTATTTATACTGTTTACCGTTTATATACAATATATTGTTGCACTGTCAACATTGCATAATCAATAAACACTACCAATCTATAAAATTGTAAATTTTCAAAATAAAGATAATTATCTGTAAATAAAAATAAACACGAATTCTATACCAATAAATTACAGTTAAAACATGAGATAAACTATGCCACAAAACTTCCTTGAATTAGAATACAGCAGCAAAACTAAGTTTATGATGAATCAATTAAAGAGCATGCTTGCTTTTTGGATTAGAATACAACAGCAAAACTAAGTTTGCATTAAATTTACTGAAAAACATGACCATTGCACATTTAATTTCACACAAATCACAAATCATGTAAAATATTTCTCGTCATCTCATGTGCTTCATATTATCCTCATCGAGATCAAATCCCATAATCAGACAATGAGCTGATTAATATCAAATAACAATATAGTCAGCCAACAGAATAACATAATGACACATATTTCCAATTAACTAATAATCAACTCCTTTGACAAAAGTACTTATAGTACGAAAAGTGTTAATGATAATTAAGATTTAGTAAACACAAAGGCTGCAAAAAGAAATTCCCAAAGTCGTACTGAAATTAATTCTCAACAGGAAAACCACATCTAATATGCATAAATTCAATCCATCAAAACTTACATTGACAAGATGAATTACACAGTGCGTGCAGGTACATACGCATTCCCTCAAAATATATGCCAATATCATCTATATCATTTTACATGATTGATTAATTATAAAGTTAACTTTACCATTTTATTTCTCGTGTATATTTAGCAAACACATTCAATTTTTGCCAACCTATGAAATTAAAGGATCATCTAATTTAAACTGTGAAAATCAGACATACCTGATGCACGTACGTCGCCACTCGCCAGTGGAAGTCTCAATTCTCAAATGAGTGTCTAACTTTCAAGCCTAGCTACAGGCCTGAAATATTTAGTTATATATTTAATACGCAGTAATAATTAGCAATCCAAGGGCAATTAATTTGGTCTTTAATTAGGGTGTTGAAACGGCTAATCAAAATCTTTTAGAAGAAAATCTTGGCATATCCCGACTTTCACTCTTCCACTCCCCTAAACGCGTGCGAAGGATTTTAGGGTCTGGACTTCCAGTAGCTAAACATGGCTAAGAAGCAATTGTTATAAACTGGCGCCGACCGTAGGAACACCACCTTATAATCAACAAATTAAACAACTGGAGCCAGTCAGAAAGTCTCAGATCACATATTTTTGGTGAGCTTTGGATGGTGTTTAACGAATGACACTAAGATTGGGGAACGAATGGCAATTCACAAATGTATATGTGACAGATTGGATGATTTTAGACAGATTAAAACTAGGTTATAGTTGCATGGATGAATAGTCGATAGATTACTTTAAAGAGTTTTTTGCATTTTTGGTCCCACGATTATAATGACACTATCAAGACTGATTCGCGAGTTTCAAACTTTGCAATTTCAGTCAACGACTATTTTTTTTATTGCAAAAAATGGTCATTTTGACCAATTTTCGGTCAAAAATCTCACCGAAAAAAAAAATTACATTTCAAGTAGAAATAAAATAGACATATACATTGACCTTGCAATCTCGAACCGCTGTTGACCTCTTATTCTGACCAAAGTGCGAAAAAATCAAACAAACAAAAATCCCAATTGCCAACAAAGGGTTCGTCTCTGACAGTTGGATTTGCTTCTTCCAGAATGACCACTTATAGAATGAGCACTGCATGCATTTACTTATTCCGAAAGGAACACTTCCGACAATAGTTTGCCGAAAAATTGGATGACAGGACTAAATGTGATACAAATTATATAGTCATGAACCTAATTATGAAATTTTAATAGTCAATGGTCAAATGCGATTTATTTATAATATCAGTTGACTAAAAGTGAAATTTATTCTAATATTTATTCTATATATATGTCCATAAACATAAGTTGTAATGTCCAAAAATCCTAAGCTAAAAATGTACATCATATGTATTTCCATTCATTTTAGAGTAGGTTCAAAATGCTACTACTATTTCTATATGTTAATAAAAATAAGACAGAGTCAAATAGGCCTATCTACTACTGCGAAGTACTCAATTTTCACCACGAATTAAATTAAAGTCTAATCAGCCACACTTACCAGCTAAATTTGTTTGGTTGACTTTTTTTGTAGGTTACTAACCAATTGCCTATTCAATTATTAAAAAATAAAAAAATAAAAATTAAAGGAATTTCAGCCACTGATTGTCCCGCGCGGACAGCCGGTGGCTGTGTATTTCACATACAGCCGTGGCTATCCGTCCGATAAGGACAACCGAACAGTCACGACTATCAAACATGAGGTCCAGATCTAGACCTCATGTTTGAAGTCCAAATCTGGACCTCAAACGGCCTTGAACGAGGGCGGCGGCCATGGCTGAAGGAGAGAAGGTCCTTGCTTACCATGATCCTCGCATCTATGAAGCTAAGGCAAGTCTCTCTTCTCTGTCAGAACTAATATATTAGCTAATTTTTCTCAAGAAATTCTAAAGTAACATATACTTATCTTCATAAATATTGTGAGAATACATGGTGAAATAAGAAAAATGCTTATCTGAAAAGAGCTTAGCAAAAGCAAAGTTCAATTTTTAAAAATTTTGAAACTCATGAACTAGTAATGAACTCCATTCTCAGTCACCCATGGTTGAAAGTTGAAACATGTGTTGGGGAAATATGCTTATTTGGAGCTGGCGGTTTAAACCAAACATCCTTAAAATAACAGCTCAACAATGGTCAACAATGAAAATGTCCATTTTAATCCGGCTTGAAAAGGAATATTTTTTCTTTGATGAGAAATTGAGGGAAAATGCACTGAGAAGACTATTTTTGCTACAAAACCGATAGTCGTGGACCTAGATTGTAAGCTTTGAAACTCGTGGAAAAAATCTGAAAATATCACTATAGTCGTGGAACTAAAAGTACAAAAAACTCTACTTGTATAATTGGGACAAAAAATGTCATTTTCATATACTTTAATTGATGACATTGTCAAATATTTTTCTTAGGTTTTAATCTAAGAGGAGTTTTTTAAAAAAAATCAATAACAATCAAATAAATCATCAACTACACACAAAATTACAATTAGGCTATTTAATTCAAAAAAAAAATATATTTGAGTTCTTAAACAATGCAAAATTAAGTATTCTAAAATTTAACATTTTTACCTATTAGTTAATGACGCGGGGTTATCAAATTTAAAAATAATATTTTTCAATTGCTTAACTTTGTGTTATTCAAGAATCCAATTAGGATTTGTTTGGATTGGATGACTAATTATAATTTTTGTTGGGTGATTTATTTGACGGAAAATACTACATGAATTTCCATTTCTTACTCCTAATTTGTATTCCCTTTCACAAATTCTTGATGTAGTCTCATTTTCTGAGACCCACATGATGGAAATATTCAATATTTGTTTGCCATGTCATGGAGTAAAAGTGAGAAAGTAAAAAAAAAAAAAAAAAAAAATATATATATATATATATATATATATATATATATTATTATTATTATTATTATTTTTTTTTAGAACTAAAAATACATGTTGTAGAACTCTTATTTGACCCATCTTGCAACGGCGAGATTTGTACCGAATACTTTTTCTCCGACGAAACTAGCCACGGGAATTTGTGTAGACTTCGCAGTCTCTATAATTAATCATCTGCCACCGCTACGCTCGACGACCTCCGACGGAGAGAAGAGATGGCTCTCCACCAGCCCTACGACCCTTACTACCGCCCCCAACCACTACCCATTCCAGATTACGGCTACACCGTCGGTAATAAAAACGAACGCGATATGATTCGAACCCTATTCGTGTCCGGCCTCCCAGACGACGTTAAAGCTCGTGAAATTCACAATCTCTTCCGCCGCCGTCCCGGCTTCGAGTCTTGTCAGCTCAAGTACACTGGTCGCGGAGATCAGGTTTTATTCTTCTCTCTCTCCCTCTTTACTCGACAATGAAGAAATTTTATGCAGAGTATAGTATTCATCATTGTTAGTTCTCTGTAATTTAGCATTATTTTCTCGCTAATTACCATAACACTGGCTTGGAATTTAGTAAAATGATCGCACATTTGTAAGTACTAGTTCATTTTGTCATCTAATGAACATGTCTGTGGTAATCTCGCTGTAAGATATTGTTTCCTATATGTTCTATAGAGTCTGCGAGTTGCTGGCGTACATAATTTGCAAATGTGTATTCTAGTGGTAACTGCTGAAACTCAAGATTTAACTTCGATTGTAACTTGTAAGAGGTACCTTGTGTAGGGAATAGTTAGCAGGTAGAGCTTGATATTTATGCAACAAAGGCTAATGTGGTGTGCAAGGAATGCTGTGACAATTATGTACCAGAAGACCTCATTCATTTTACCAATAAACTGATGAGATGCATTGATTAAGAACTTTGCTAGGATAATTGCAAGTGAAGGATTCTATAGAGGATGGGCGTTATGAAGTTCATAGAGCTTACTAGTATGTAGAAGCAGCTACTGAGAATAAATGGAATTTAGGGATTTTTGCCTCATGCATCATGTCAGTTTCTAGAAATTAGAGATTCATAGTGTTTGCTTGTTATCTTTGAACTCTGTAGGTGCAATCTGGTGAATTTAGGCCTCTTTTATTTTTATTTTTACTCCGTCCTGCTTTTTAGTTTGTTATAGTATTTTAAATTCTTTCTTACATTTATGCAATTGTATAAGAGGCTCAAGCCTGCATGTCAGTGTTCCTTCAAAAATAAAAACTCTGAAAAAAATGATCTCTTTAATCAGGTTTTTTTTTTTTTTTTTTTTTTTTTTTTTTTTTTTTTTTTTTTCATATAAACTGTATCCTGCAACTCTCTCTCTCTCTCTTCTTTTTTAGGGGGGAAAACAGTGTGTATGAATCGAAGTAATACTTATTTGTGCACTTTGCAGGTTGTTGCATTTGCCACCTTTGTAGATCATCAATCAGCAATGGCAGCATTGCACTCGTTAAATGTGAGATTGTCAAACATGATTTATCTCTTACTTTATTTACACCTCTGGATTGAAAATTCTATATAGGGAGAACAGCATTTTTAGTTGTAATAGTTATTTTCATCTCTAGTTGTTTGGCATGCCTAAGTTTGGTCCTCAATTACCACTGGAAGTTGCTGATTTAGTCCTGCTCCTAACGGAATCTGGTAACCCCAAACTAAGGAAAGTATATCACTGTAGCCATACAGCAAACACACGCAGAAATGTCTATTAACTTCAATGTTGTAGAAGGCGCTAGGCGCTGGTCGGACGCCTAGCCACCTAGGCGGGCAACTATTAACTTACGGTTTTCCTAGTTTTTGTTTGGAGTTAATGGATTCTGCTAGGTGGGACTGTGGGAGAGACCAAATTAGCAACTTCCGATGATAACTAAGGACCAAATGTATGCACGTCAAAGAGCTAGTGACAAAAATAACTATTATGTTGTAACTAAGGGACTAGAAATGCTATTCTCCCTTTATATTTTTTCATTGTGTGGAAGGGCGTGGTTTGTCTTGCAATATGGTCAGGCAGGACTATTCAGTGCAATTAAACTGATCCACTAGTTTAGTTTCTGTACACCACCCACTACTTGCACATAACTGTGCTGGGGCGCAGATAGCTTTTTAACTTATATTCCAAAGCCATCTTTCCATTTTAATCAGTCTCCTGTTGTATAGATGCTATGGCACTATGCTATCCGTCATAGAATTAAATTCTTTCTCTTTGTTGAGATGGCATCCGCTAGTATCTTGCCTTTGTTCTTACTCCTACATATATATGTTTCATTGTCTCCATGGTCCTTTGTATTTACAGGGTGTGAAGTTTGATCCTCAAACAGGATCCACTTTGCACATTGAAATTGCCAGATCAAACTCCAGGAGGACAAAAAGACCAGGTGAATATATTATATTATTTATCAGTGTCACTGGGCAATAAGAGGTGGGTTGAAATGCTGCTGCTGAGTGTGTGTAATGGAACTGGTTGTTGCTGTTATTCACAGGGAGTGGGCCCTATGTTGTTATTGATAACAGATCTAAATCCAATACAGATGCCAAAGGCACTTCAAGTGATGAAGGTAAGCAGGTAACCTATCTATGTGATATAGTTTAATGGAAAATTACTTGTTGGCTCTTCCCTAGACCACCTACCCAATCTCCCACATACTGCTTTTTCATTTCCCTGCACCACTTCTGGTTGGTGCAAGTGTTGAACACAAAAGGCCAAAGAAACTTTTCCCTTTAAGTAAGTTTGGTAGAGAGCTTAATTTTCGAATAATGCTTATTGTATCAATAACACATACGGTTACAATAATGATTTGCATTGCCATTCGTCTTAGACTGGATGTAAAGCTGATAAACACATGAACACAATCTGCAGATTCAAATGATAGTGATTCTGATGACCCATCAAGATCCAATGATCCTGATTCTGGCAACAATGATGATTCGTCTGAGAAGAGGTTGAAAGCACTTAAAGCACAAAATTACTGCTCACTTAGAATATCAAGTGTTATGGATATTATCAAATATGATGTTTCTATGAGTCAATATTTATTTAAATTTGAACACTAACAGTACTGTCTGGCATTGACCAGTGGTGAGAAAGTGGGTGATGGTGATAATGTTTTAGCTGCACAAAGTGTAAGTGCTGCACAAAGTGTAAGTTTGTGATTAGCTGTCCTTAATATTAAACACACACACACACACACACACAAAGTTGAATGCTTATATATTCCATTGCAACAACATATCAAAAAGTTAGTGGGTATTGCAGGAACAGATTGAGAAAATAGGAGATGGTACTCATCCATGTTCCACTTTATTTATTGCCAATCTCGGGCCCAACTGTACTGAAGATGAACTTAGGAAAATTCTTTCACAGTAAGTTTCTTTAAAAATCTTATGAAACTATGAACTTTGTGTTGGTAATTATAGGCAAACTTCTTATACTGACTCCTTATGAAATCTCATATTTGGTTCTTGGTTACCCATTTTTGCTTATAATAACCTTATAGTGTAATTAATAGCACATGTTTGTTTTGTTACCAGGTACCCTGGATTCAACACCCTGAAGGTTCGTGCTAGAGGTGGAATGCCAGTTGCTTTTGCTGATTTTGAGGTACACTGCACTGTGCTTAATTATGCTGCTGATGTCGAATTTCATTTTTCTTTTGGTCGCATTAGTGTAGTGTATACATCATATTTATTTTGACAGGGTGTTGAAGAAGCGACCCAGGTCATGAATGCACTTCAAGGAAGCTCATTGCCTTCGTCAGATCGGGGTGGCATGCATATAGAGTATCTCTCTCAACTTCTATGAACACTGTTTGCACACAACTTTTAGTATTACACTATGGATGCTGTTACTAAGGCTAAACTTTTCTTTTGTTTTGGCAGATATGCTAGATCTAAAATGAGGAAGCCTTGAATCACATTACGGTAAAAAAAAAACTTATATTCTGGTGTCCATTAGCTATGACTTCAATGCTCACATAGATTTAGTCCCTAAATCAAAGCCTTTTCTATCATGATAAGTGTCAAGTATGAAACAGTGGATTTTTGTCAAAGTAGTTCACGAAGAACTGATATAGGCCACCCAGTTAATTTATGCTATCACTTCATTATTAAGTACAACTTGAAAGATGATATCAGTTCCTTCCTTAATCTCTGTATCTGAATTCGAATAATATTTGTACATTGCTAGAAACTGTTTTTTCCACCATGCAATGCAACACTTGTCAGGTCTACTTGGGAAGTTGTATAGTTCCATGCTGCAAATATTTTGGGCAATTATTATGTTGCAGGTCTAGTCCTCATAACTATCTGGGTCTTAACTTAAGTTTTTTTAGTAGATATTGTTATGCCCCAAATTTTCAGACCTTATAAGACCATAAATCTCTAAACAATTTAGTCTTCCAACTTGGTTGGGGTTAGAGACAGTATGAGGTATTTTGGTAGTTGGAACAAAAGAATCCCTTTCATCCTGCAGGCTGCAGCCATGGGTGGTGATTCGCGGTATTAATTAATTAATCTGCCATCACCCACCCTCTAATGACTAATGTAGACCATCATTAAATTTAGGGAAAAAGGGTCAAATAGACCCTTCAACTTTACTCAAAAGTGCAATTAGGCTCTTCGACTTTAAAAAAATGTAATTAAACACTCAAACTTGTTATTTTAAGGCATCCAAACCCAATAGCTGGTAATTTACCTTGAATTACACGTCATTTAAGATTCCGGCGAACGTAATTTTTTATTTTTATTTTATAGAGATTCGGTGACCGGAGAAGTTAACCGGTCGGTCTCCTTTTCCATTGGAGAGGACGACCAGAGGTTGCCATCTCCAATGGAGAAGGCGACCTCTGGTCGTCCTCTCTTGGAGAAGACGACTAGTCTGGTTGTCCTCTCCTGGAGAAGACGATCGGACGTCGTCTTCTCCAGTGGGAAATGGTCTTCACCGGCGGTCAACGTCGATAATATTACTGGTAACTTGTTGGTTACCGGTAAATTAGACTTATTTGATTCATTTTGACAAGTTTGAATGTTTAATTGAACTTTTTAAAAGTTTAATGACCTAATTGCACTTTTGAGTAAAGTTGAAGGGTATATTTGACATTTTTTTCTTTAGACTTGTAAGATTTTGATTAATTATCCAATCTGGCATTAATGATCGAACACTTTGCTTGGCTACCGGCCTCTTTGACCGTTGTTGCTATGTTATATAAAGGTTAGATTTTGTACTAGTTTAGAAATTAGCTACTCATATTATCCACTTTGCAAGTGTACTCTAAGCAATTAAATACAAAGGTTACACACCATTCTCTATTTCCTTGTTTGGTTTGAAGTTGAACCATCATACATGTTTTTTAGGATCACATCTTATGTTCAAACATTTGCCTTGTACATTTGAATCAGTTTGTCTACAATTATTTTTTTAATTAGGAAATAAAGTGTGAAGATGGATATAACCTAAATCCGCTTTAATTATGACATTATATTTCCTTTTATTTCTTTTCCAAAATCCTTCATTGTTGGATAAGACCATTATTGATGAAGTATGTATGACATGATCCAATTCCTTAAGTTGTAACAGTATAAAATATTCTGACAATAAAAATGTGTATTCTGTATTATGTTTGATGATACTTAATCATAATGTCACTTCAAATAAACTTTTTATTTATATAAACTATATTTTGTTTTCATGTTTATTCAAAAAGTTCAACTATCTATTCTTAAAGATGTGCTAGATAGGGCTATCTTCATTTACCCCTTGCCATTAAAACAAGCACATGAGAGGAAATGTATGATGTCCCACCTTCAATCCATGTATTGGGTGATTAGTTTTGCGACACTGACTTCTTCTTCTTCATTTTTTTTTTTTTTTTTTTTTTTTGGGGAACACTGACCAATTTTCTATCGAGAAAATAATAGTAAACTTTAAAAAATTCTCATTAAAGGCAAAATTTGCTATGAGACCATCTCACGGATCTTCATCTGTGAGATGGGTTGAATTTTTTCATAAACATTACACATTCCCTTTTAAGTATTACAATAATTTTCCTCACAAGTAACTTTTGACCTCTAATATATTTTGATTTAATAATTTTCCTCACAACTCATCATAAAATATGCAAAAACCTTCAATTTTTTTTTTTTTTTTTTTTTTTTTTTGTGGAGACGGGGAGTTACTCTAAATGACTTATGGAAAACATAAAACATTTTCATTGCTAGTGTTTGGTTGCATTCTAGAAAACTGTCTTAGTGTGTTTGGTTTATTTTCTGAAAAATGAGCAAAATTTGTATTATTAAACATTTTAATTGTTTTGTTTATAATATAAAAGCATTTATAATAATAATAATAATAATAATAATAATAATAATAATAATAATAATAATATAAATGGTGGTAGTGGTGGTGGCGGTGATAGTATGGTGGTGGTAGTGACGGCGGCGGTGGTGGTATTGGTGTGAAAATTGGAAAATGACTTATCAAAAAAGAGAAAGTCATTTTCGAAGAAAATAGATGATTTTTTCTTTGACTCACATTTTTCACAATTTACCAAACATTGCAAATTAAAAAAATACAAACACACCCTGAGATTATATGTATCTAGACACTCAATATTTTAATCCATAGAAATTAGCCACTTCATTACTTTTTTTTTTTTTTTTCTTTTTTTCCCGAGAATGCTTACTAGCATTCCAAAATCGTCCATCTATGTTAACTACTTATGAACCTTGTTTTTTTTTTTTTTGTTTTGAAGGTCAACCAATGCGGTTGTATTTAAAGATAAGCTGAAATAGAGTCGGCGGGACAGTGTCCCAATACATAGTCGTATCATACTCAAAAGTCGTAGAAGCTAAACTATGTGCTAAATAATTCTGCGATCTAGGAATGAAATTAAGTAGACAAAAAGTAAAGGTAGATATGCAGTCTCTACATCCGTCAATAGCATAACCAATGTATGACCGGGGCGGCGGACCTACTGAAGATAAATAACTCTGAAGAGTCTGACAATCTGTATAGAGCTCAATAGACAGTTCTCCACATGTACGTAACCAAGACAGAGATTCCTTACATACATATGCCTCGGCCATAAGTGGGGAGAAGCAATGTGGTAAGGGTGCGATGTACGCTGAGACAAATCGATCCTCCGCATCCATGAGTAACGCTCCTACTGTAGCTGAGTTTGTCGCATGATGATAACCTGCGTCGACATAGCATTTGCTTGGCCGTGGTGTAGAGACGTGGGGCACTCCAGGCGGTGCTGACGCCGGAATCGGCTGGACAGCGACGGCAGCTCCAGGCAGTGGCAAGAGGCTCGGGCGTCCGCTGCTGGGCAGTATCTGCGATGGTTCGATCGGTTACTGTTCGGCTCAATGCATCGGCATGGATTTGCCGCCATGCTCGCATGGTGGCTTCGGCCATAGCTAACACCTTCTTTGGGAGTGGTAGACATGCATCCCATACTGCTCCATTTCGTGCTCTCCATAGATGATATAATATTGCAGCTGCGTAGATAATCCCATCAGAGTCTAGAACATTTAAAATTGCACTGAACCATTCATGAAAAATATTTGTCACAATATTTGGGAGTGGAAGGTTGGATAGAGTCCATATGGAATTGGCATATCCACACAATACCAATGAATGCATAGTGTCATCATTGGTGATCCCACACATGGCACATAATGGATCAACCTTTACCCTCTTTATAAGCAGATTGTTGGTAGTGGGAAATATATATCACTTATAGCTTTCTATAGAAAGGTTTTTCATTTGGGTGGAATTTTAAATTTCCATAGAGTGAGCCATTTTGTGAAACCATTATTCACATTATTCTCATAATTCCTAACAATGAGTCTGTAACCATTCTTAACAGAATAGCATCCTTTGGGGTCCCCATGCCAGTACCACATGTCATCAGGGGAAATTGGGGGAAATTGGGGGAAATTGGTATCTTCATGATCCTAGGCACATCATTTGGTTGGAAAATATCAGTGAGCAAATGATGGTCACATGTACCCGTTGTTTGATCAACTAAATTTATCACTTTAGTATTGGCCAACTGAGGTGGCATCTCTGTTTGAATCATAGGGTCATCTTCATCTTGTAGCTAGGGATGTCCCCATACTAAGGTAGAATTTTCGTTCCCAATACGCCTTCTCACTCCACTACAAATTAAGCTTTTAGCTACCATAATACTCCGCTAACAGTGATAGGGTTATTTCCTAGGCCTGCATTTGAAAAGGAGTCTTTAGGGTAGTACCTAGCTTTGTAGACCCGAGACACCAATGAGTCAGTATTAGTAAGAAGTCTCCATGCCTACTTGCCCAATAGTGCTACATTAAATGCTTAAATCCCAAGCCACCATATTTTTTATGGATGCATAACTTATCCCAAGCTTTCCAGTGAATTCTATGGTCAGTTCCCGAACCCGACCAATATCGATTCGTGAGTCGCTCAATGGCAGTGCACACAGATATAGGTAATAAAAATACAATCATTGAGAAGGTAGGCATAGCTTGAGCCACACTTTTCACAAGATTTCTTTACCTGCTTGCGATAATAACTTTTTATTCCAAGACCCAATTCTCTGTCTGATTTTGTCCTTAATATAGGCAAAAGCTGCTTTTTTATTTCTCCCAAATAAAAGAGGGCAAACCAAGATATTTTTCAAAATTAGGTGCTTGGGTTACCCCCAAAATTTGCGCCACATTTGCTCTCTCTTCATCTGCTGTATTTTTGCTGTAGCATATACTAGACTTATAATTGGCCACTTGTCCATACAAATTTTCATACCGTGATAAACAATTCTTTATTTCATTGGCCTCCTTCACAGTAGCCCTAAAAAATAGTAGACTATCATCAACAAAGAATAATGAGAAATAGGGGGAGCACCCCTAGCAACTCTGCATCCATGTATTGAACCCCTATTTTGTGCTTGCTGCAACAACAGAGAAAACCTTCAACACAAATAATAAAGAGATAGGGAGATAATGGGCTCCCTGCCTTAATCCACGAGTGTGCGTGATTAAGTCACTGCGGGAGCTATTTACCAGAAAATTGTATGATACTGTAGTGACACACATCATAATAAGTTCAATCCATCTGTCATTAAAATCCAGGGCCACAAGCATACCACGCAGAAAAGACCACTCCATATGGTCATAGGCCTTAGCCATATCCAATTTAAGAGCACTCCAGCCTACAACCCCACACTGTTTCCTATTCAAATAATGCCCTACCTC